TAGGTCAACAGGGCACAGCGCGAGATTCTTGCATTGCAAAAGTAGATCGTGCCTCCATGCGTCTGGGCCACATGGCAATCTTGGAAGTGGCGGAGGCACAATGCTGGATTGCAGTCCTCAGCTTAAGCAATACAAGTTGAACCGGCCTGGAAACATGATGAACTGCGTCACTGCGTCTTTGCTTTCTACAGCTGGCAGTCCTGGCAGCCGTGAAGGCTGGAAATCAGGATGGTAGTGTTGTCCTGCCAGCGATGGGCCATATGCAACAGGCATCCTGAAGCTTCTGTGAATTAGCTGTCATTCGAACAGTATGGGAAAGCAACAAACAGAATGTCCTCAAAGCAGTTGTCTTTTTGGCTGACTCTTGGATAGCAATGACCAGACGCAGGGCAAGACAGGCGACCATTCTAGGACAGCTTGATGAGAAACTTCAAAAGAAAAACGCGCCAACCGCCTTGGGACCAATGATCGTGTATATTACATGCATGTATATATGCAAAAGCCAGAGAACTTGAAATCATGAGTCGAGCTTTCTTCAAGGATCCCAGCGAGGATTTACAAGAGGTCTTTATACCAGCTGCCGTTTGCAAACCACTCTTTCGGGTAGGAGACGCTTTACATATTTGGTCTTGCGGTTTGAAATGTACAGTATCAGTATCTGTGAATCCGCCGGATGGCTTGGGTGTGCTGATCCAACGCCCAGCAGTCAGATGTGCAATATCCACACCGCTCACTCCCTCCCAAGACATTGCCCCCTGGCTGCGTGCTCAATTTATCAAGCTCTGGCGAAGCTGGAGGTCCGCAAGGGGAGTTTTGCAGGCTCCGTCGAACGGCCACAAAGTAATGCAGAAGTTCACCAGCCAAGAGGTTCATGCTAACTTCGCTGGAATCAACTGCTGGATTTTTGACACGTTCTCATATTGGATTCAGCAGAAGCCGTCCTGAGGATGGTCTCCGCAAATGCATCGACAAACGTTGCTGATTTGGGCCATTGCAGTTCCGCGGCTGGCTTGGGCAGAGTTCGTGCCCTTTACCTGAGACCTGTTCTAAATGCCTCCGTTGATTCAGCTGCGGTTCCTAGCAGGTGAAGGTTTCAATGTGTGGGCGCCTGATCTTGTGCGCCAGATCAGGGGCTGTGCGGAAAATGTGCTGGATAGCCAACGGCCCCGCAGAGATCCGTGCTTCAACTCAACTCCTGAAGCTCGCACTTCAAGCGAACGCTCTTTCGGGTGCAATCTTGGAGGAGCGTTACTTGACTTCTTTCACTGATGACCTGTACAGATTTCTAGAGGAACACTGCTCTCTAGTTGATCAGGTCGGGTGCCACTCTGGATATTGCAGGACATTTTGCAGGTAGAGGCTTGTCGAAGGCATCTGATATTGCCCTATGGATGCAGAACTTTCTGAGCCAAACTGCTCCCATGGAATGGGGTGTCACCAGCACAAAGCTGATGTCTCTGCTCACACGTACATGGCTATTCAATGCATCTCCGGGCTAACCACTTGCAACCAAGACAAGAATTCTTCCTTGCAGGTAAGTGAACACTTGCGCGCGCAGGGTTTGCAACCTTTTTGGCGGGTGTGGCTCGTGCCGTGCTAGACGAGACTTCTTGTGACGACCCAGTGTCAGTTGCTGCTGACAGGGCACTGGATCATGAGCTCGCAGGTCCTCTTCATCCTGAATCTGATGAAGTAATGATGACATTTTCATGAGGAAGTGCGACTTTCGCTGAAAAGAGGCTGCAAATCACTTGTTCGCTGCCGCTTTGCCAGGTCAGCCGCGCACGTAGAGAACCTTCAACATGGGCACAGATAGCTGTACTTCATGTCACTCATTTCTTACCCTACTTTGCCTTGGCTCCGGGCAGGCGTTTAGAACCTTCTCACCCAAACAGTACCCCTTCCTTTGTACTTTCTGGCAGTATTTAGTAAGGAGATGCCACAATAAACGCAAGCCACAAGAGCCGTTTGCCAGTCCCTGCCGTCGCTACTTCCGGCCCCTCTGCCACCGCGACTCTGATCCTCGCCAGACCCTTTGCACGCCAACATCTTTTGGATAAAGAGGGGCTGGGGCGTCAAGCTCCCTTTCTGCCCAAAGGTTAAACGCGCCATCAAGTAGCACAAAGCGTCAGATACATGGCAACACTAGAGCGCGGAAACCTGCTTCTGCTTCTGCTGCTTCTTCTTCTTGTTCTTCTTGGCGGCGTCGTCCTCCTGACACTATTTTGAGACTTCAAGATGCTTTGCAGATTGTGCAGGATAGCACGGTTGCATCATGCAGTCCATGCACCCTTTCAGGGTTATCTGATCAAAGTCTTGCGAAGTTCTGCTTTCCTGGGACATATCTAGAAGAAACAGGCGGAGTATGCTCGAACCATTCATCACGCACCATTCGAGTATTGGTCTCTAATCAGCACAAACTTAATGGAAAGGTTGGTGCGCCCCCAAAAGCACTCCGCTCACTTGGCTTCTTTCATTGCCCCCTCGGCCTGCTCAGCCTTGCTTGGCATGAGCTCGCATTCGTCGTGAATCTCGCTGGCCTTCAAGCTTGTACTCTTCCCTCAGGTGTAGCCGACTGGGTGTGTGTGTGGGAAGCGGCTGACTAACGCACTTAGAGATGGATGAGTTCTCGTGGCTACTCTCATCGCAAGGATCCGGAAGCTGGACTCGAGACACTAGGGAAGAGGCATGGCATGTAAACGGCTTCGGTGCAAAGCTGCATCTGGATACAGCAGGGACCACAGCGTGCAAATCCGACATGTTCAAGAGGCCACAAGCCATGAATCAAGCATGCTTGACTGCAAGGGCAACTTAAGCGGCGGCCTCCAGCCTTGCTGAAGGTTGGGGTGGCCTCAGGATTCTGTGAACTCGCTCCCACCCCAAAACTGTTCAACAGAATCTGAGGCCCATGCTTTTGCCCCTGATCTTTGGTTTCTGCCTACGTGTGTAGAGCTGGACTACTAAGTTGGGCAGAGGTCCCCGACGCAAGCACATTGACAAAATGAGGTGGCGCACATCCCAGTGCTGGTTGCTCCCATGGTTTTTCCTGCGTCAACAGTCAAATCTTCAAGCACATGCTACGCCGTGATAAGCTTCAAACGTCTGGAAATGTAATCTTACACTTTTGCACACATCCTAACCCCTTGGCACCACTACCTGCCCGTTGTCAAGCAGGTCCTTCCACTTCTTGAATTCTTATCCTGTGCACGGAGATTGCTGGCCAACCATGCTGAACAGTCATGACAGCACCGAGCATTTGCTGCAGCAAATGGTGGCAAACATGGACAGGCCAAATACTCACTGCAAGGGTGCTGGCAGCAACATGCGTTACGCCATTATGTTTCAAAGGGACTTACCTTGGTTCCTGCACTTTTGAGATTTACGCTTGAAATTGCCTGAACAACACTCGCCGACAATGGGTCAGACACTTTTTCTGTATGCCAGAGCAGGCCAACAGGCGTAATGGCCCTGCTCATACTTAGATGACATCCTGTGTGCCCAACTGCCCATCAGAATCTCATTCAATAGTGTACAAGGTTGTCTGAGTTGTCTGCTTTGCTGTGCAGTGTGCCAACGCTGCAACCGATGTTGCATCCGCTCTGTTGAGCTGATCGAATGTACGCCAAGAAGCTTCGACACCACTAATCTCGCGATGTATGACTCAAATACACCTTTAACTCTTGATGCAGCTGAGCCGAATCTCAGCAAATAGTATTCCCTTCACCAGCACCCTTACTTGCAGTGACATGTCAAGAACGAAGCTTCACGCATTGTGCCTTGTCTGACCACCACTCTGCCTGGTCTCCTCCAGCGGCAGCAAATGATTACACGCTGGGCCTATCAAGTTCGAGTGACGTAAGCTGCCTCGGCCCTTCGACTGTCCTTTCTTTCTCCGAACCTGGAGTCCGTCAAGAAACTTGCAGACGGACATCTGTGCACGATACTGCCATGACGCGTCTGTCTATTCAAGCGGCTTCCTGAGACTTTCTGTACTCATCGATCGTGATCATGCCTTCACCACCTGCGCATGCTAGGGGAGAGGAGAAATCCGGGCTTTATCGGAAAAGACGTGTGGATCTACAAGTGACCTGCCACTGCATGACACGCGGTCAGCATGAAGAATGCACCGCAGTGATGCCTGCTTACCGGTTGCCTTGACGTGCGGTGGTAACATTGTGTTAATGCTATTTCTTTTTGCAATCGTGCTCTTTCTCATTTCTGCATCAACTGGATGCCAGCAAGAGCAAAGCGGGCATGAAACGTAATATGCGGGAGCAACCATCCACAGCCCAAAGCACATCAGCCCTGTGCGCGCGCCGTCTTAGGTTTGCCTCAGTGTAAGACAGTGTCGGCAGGTTGGTTCTGTGGCCTGTGGTTCACGCTTATCTAGGATGCTGTCCCCTGCTCTTCGACATCTTCCTTCACTACAGCTTTCGTTAACCTTGCTGGCTGCTAGCAGAACCAGTATGCTCAAAAGAAAGCATGCTCCCAATAGCTAAGCAAGGCTTCACCGCCCAACTATCCTTGCTGCGACTTGCGAAATGCGTGTGGACCCATTCTCTGCCGTTACTTTTGTGTTCTCACTTGTGTCATCCAGGGCGGGTGCTTGCTTCTGCAAGTTCAATCAGGGGTTCTTCGTTGGGCGAAGCCCTCGCACTCTGCTGGCCGGCTGCATTTCGTTTGAACAAACAACAGCAAATGAGGGCGGGACCATTGGTTCCTTTGGATTGGGGCGTTTCTTAGTGACACTCTGTACAAGCAAGGGGATGCAGTATGTAAGCCCAGGTTCTCCACAAAACGACTGAGCCAGAAGTTACTGCAACTGCATTCCGAAATTACGTGTTTCTATGGAGCACCACGGGTACTTTATTTTGCATGTAGCCAGGGGGTCTCTTGGCAAGAGAGCCTATAATCTGCGCTCTGCGGAACCAGGTACGTTTAGATGACTTGCTGGCATTCAACATGTGCACTCGCCACGCGCTGCAATCTCACGCGCCTGCCTGTCAGGTGGATTTTGTCGTCCAGGAAGACGCTGATTTCGTCCGCTGATTTTACCTATGGTCCATTTCAGACTGCAACACGCTGGCTTCTGAGGGAAGAATCTAATTAGGTGGCGCAACGCATATATCTGATAGTGGACTAATCGACTGCGATTTTGAAACGAACGCTGTGACATGCTGCATCAGGCCGGGGCCCCGAATGGACCGTTCTGCTCCTTGTCAACAATGGGCAGCTTTTCTGCCAAGCACCTTGGGCAAGGCTTGTTAAAGCATCCAGCCGCTCGGAGTGACAGGTCTGCATCTTTCATGCAAACTCTTGTCAAGATCCCGGCTCGTCAGACTTCAGTTCGTGCAAAATCTGGCTCCACAGGGTATGCTTTTCCAGCATATCCTCAGCAAAAACAAGGCAGTGTCGTCGCAGTTTTTTCAAGCATGCATCTCCTCCAATTATTTGTGTTCAGGTACTGCTTCAACAACTTGTGACTTGTATGCCTGTGAAATATGACTTTCTTGAAGCTGAGAAACCACTTGATTGCACGCGCACACAGCAATCTTCTAGAGTCAACAAAGCAGAAATAAACAGGTGGTCTAGATGATGAAATGGGCAAGTGCGGTTTCTGCGAGTGGTGCCTTGCAAAAGATCTGTCTGTTGCACTCAGTGAGCAAGTTCGGCGCCTGCAAAAAGTCCGTTTATGGAATTCACCGAGCAATTTCAGTTTCTGGGCGTGGTGCCTCGCAAAAGTTCTGCGTGGCATTCACCGAGCAAGTTTCGTTTTCTGCACATGTTCCTTACAAAAAGCCTGTCTGTGGCATTCACCGAGCAAGTCCGGTTTGCGGGTGGTGTCATGCAAAATTCTGTGTGGCATTAACCGAGCAAGTTCGGTTTCTGCTCGTTTCTGTGTGCGTGCCTTTCAAGAAATCTGTGTGGCAGTCACCGAGCAAGTCCGGGTTGCGGGTGGTGTCATGCAAAAATTCCGTGTGGCATTCACCGTGCAAATTTGGTTTCTGCGCGTGTTGCCTTGCAAAAAAACCTGTCTAGGGAAGCCACGGAGCAATGAGTTTCTGTGCATGGCCTTTCAATAAATGTCTTTGCGCTCAAAGCAGAGAAGCAAGGGGTGAGCTTATTTCCCAGCTTTCTTCCATGTGTGGCCCATCCAGTGAAACTTGAGCAGTGCTTCATTCTCCTGATACCTTCGAGGCGTTTCGCAATTTCGAGCAGTCTTCACAAGTCAAATGTCGCAGCATGCTCCCGCAGGCTCATCGCTTTGGCAACAGCAAGTGGGTGCTCTTGATGCATCCCATAATGCAGCAGCTTGAGTTCAATTCAGAATCGGAACATTTAAAACCTCTCGTAGATTCTAGCTTGCTGCGAATGGGTCTGAGGCCAAAGCCGTGTTGCCGACAATGAACAAACCGTGACGTGCTCTTGTCAGTGCCACGTTGATACGATTGTCGACCTTGGTTGTTTGGAAGGTGCTCGAAGCCTCCATCTCTGTCTCTGGAAGATTGGCATGCCATACTCAAAAAAGAAGGCAAGGGCCGCAAGAAAACCCATTTGGCGAGCCCTGGCAGCACCACACAACCAGCAGTAAGCTCACAAGCATGCGGGGGCCAGGAAGCCAAACTCCCGAAAAGCTGCACCTGTTGGATCGCACCAGCGAGATGACTATGATGTCGTTTTCCTCGCCCTCGCAGCGCGCGGCTGGCAGACATACAGTATTGCTCTTACCACCAAACACACCTCTGAAAGCATCTTGGCCTGAAAGTTGTCCACAGCCGTGACGGCAATCCCTTGCGTAGATGAGTCTCGCTGTATCTTTCTTTTCAGAAGTCGTACCTGTATACGCAGCACAATGCATCCCAGGGCATTCCTTTTCATGATTATTTCGCAGCAAGCCCACCTGTCCCAAATACGGCGAGAGGACGGTTATCTGCGCCTCCTGTAAAACAACTGTGCGATATGCTGGCAGAATCGGCAGATTCCTATTCTCGTGTGCCTCGTAGCCGCTAGCAACGAGGTGTGCGCAAAGAGCGCTTACGAAGTTTGCCTGGCTATCGTCACAGCAACACACAGACACGAAGATGCCACACTAAGCCCTTCTCTTCTTCTGATTCAGAACAAGGAAGAAACGAGTTGCCAATTTGCATATTGCGTTGAGTTACTCGTTCCGCACGCGTGCGTCCTTTTGAGATTACACCTGATATGAAATCACACCGGCAGACCTTCATGTGCATTATGAACAATTGAATTATTAATCGCGTTGCTGCTTCTCCAGTCACGCAGCAAGACAAAATTGCTGACGACGGTGGCTAAATGCCTCAAGCACCAAACTCAGTAATGACACTGCCCAGCCTCAAAGGTGTTCTGCTTTGAGTGACTTTCGCCCTCATCATCCTGTCACGATTTGCACCAAGGTTGTTGACCAGTCAACACACTGCGCCCCCTGGTCCATTTCCACGCGCACTACACCGCTACATCCTTCAACAGCTCGTCTAAGTGACTCATGGCAATATTTGTTTCACTTCTTCGAGGGCTGCTAAGGCTATATCATGTGTAAGCTTCTTGGGAAGCCTCCAAGTGGAAATGAGTCATGAAGAAGCATCTCGCGGCCACTCCCCGAACCTCAGGGTACCTGCTCAGCAATCAGGCCGCTAAAAACTGCATTCTGGATCACGCAGCTTGGCAGTTTTTCCTGGCTGACGCCAAGCCGAGTGCAATGTGAGGCTTTCAGAATGCCATGAGGCAAACACTTGTATTGCTAATTCTTGTTGTGAAGCAGTTGCTCTGTGCAGAATCTACCCTCGGTTCTACAACACGTTGACCCTCAAATTTACTCACGTGCATGCATTGGATGAATCAAGATCGTCGAGAAAAGTTGAAGCATGCCTCCACTCTCAAGAAACAAAAGGTTTGACACGGCAAAGATATAGGCTCTCTTTGTGGCTATCACGATGTTTGATAAGGTTTGGACAGACCCTGCAAAGAGGACAAAAACAAGCTGTCTACAGCTACCACTACACGACGCCGGGCCGTGATGAACATTTAGACAGGACATGTCTCACAACCTTTTCTCCGCTCATGAAGCTCATGTCCTCAAGTCCATTCTCCCAGGCGCTGTCCCGTATACCTGCCGGCTCACTGCAGGCGACGGCACACAGCCGCGCCAGGTAAATCGCATCCTGGCAGGGGCACGACGTAGGGATCGAAGGAAAAACAAATAATGTATGCGCATTTCGGCGGCATCATGCCAAGTCACACAGTCACACAAACATCAGGCTGAAGTAGCTGCACAGCACAGTGTACACTGCCCATACGTTCTCTGGTAGCGTAAAAGAGTGCTTGCAGCCAAGGTGTGTCAAAGGCGATGCCTTGCTTTTGCGGCCCAAATATCATCAGTCTATGCGCAGCGCTGTGAAGAGATGCATGTTCCGTTGGCGCCAACGAAAACCGTTCTAAAGAAGGCAGAACTTGCCGTCAGCCGTCGAGGATGCTATCTCAGCTTGAGAACTTAAAGTCTGAGCTTGTATGGTGCGGGAAAACTTAGAAGCCCGTTTAGCTTTACAAGTAACATAGTCAGTGACGCTGGATGCAGGATTCAAGTGGAGTCACGCTGCCAGTTGTTTTCAAGTAGAGGCTGTCTGATGGAGTTAAGGATACTACGCTTCATGTCCATTCTGGTCTTCATGAGTATTGGCTAGTTGTGTAGCTACGGCAGGAGAACATTTGGAGGAATCGAAGGGGTGCCAGCCAACGAGCATGTCGGCTGAGTGAGGGATATTGGGCGCCACCCGATCGCAAGGTTAAACAACGGGAAGCTAACTGGGCACAACCTGCGCAACCGTTGTTGTACCATTGTGAGAAAACGTCGGGCTCACAGGCCATGGCCTGGAGACAAAGCAATGCCATAGCCAAAGCCTGGTAGTGCCAGTCCAGCTCCAGATCCCTCCCCAAAGATGCCAAGCACGTCGCCAGTTGCCAGTTCTCTTTAGCAACCGGCACCCACCTCAGCCCCTCCCCAGGCGCAGTCACGCGCAGTCCACCTCCCCAAGAAGAGCGAAAAAACGGGGATAAGACAGCCATCCCTTTCCTACCTGACGGTCGTCCTCCGCCCAAACTGCTGCCGAACATCCCCTCCCCCGTGAAAGAGCTATACGGACCTAGATCCCATGTGAACTTGAGAATGCCCAGAAATTGATTGTGGCAATATTTCTGCTACCATACCCAGTGCTACGACATACATACACATATTACTAGAAGTACTTTGACTGGCACCATACCGTGACTACTGCTTGGCTGCTACTGCCTGTATCACAAGTTGTGATGTTCCCAGCCCGCACATCCACCACTGTCACAAACAAGCCTGGCAGCGTCTGAAATTTGGTGGTGATCGCAGGAGTCCCCCTCGCCAGATTCCTATGAGTAAACGGCGGAATCATGCTCCGTCTGCTGGCCCAATGTGATGTCAATCCAGCTGCCAGCATGTCCGGCCATGTCAAGCTCAACACACATTTTTTCGCGCAAACATGCAGGTTTGACCAGAGGCGTAAGCGCAAGCTCTGGAACCATGCCCGAAGCTTCGCCTAGCAAACTGGCCCACAACCTGTCCGTGCCACGCAATCAATCTGTTGGAGCTTCTCTGAGTCGTGAACGCTCAGCGGTCGAGTTCCGGCCATCAAAGACGAAAGCGAATCGGCGTCCCTAGGAAACACCCAACAATTTTGACTCGGCTCACATCACCCCGCCCCGCTGGCTGACAGACATTCCTAGGTTGAGAGGTGAGCACCTTGAGATTCGTATGGCGTTTGCATCCCTCTCGTTGCTCCCAGGCATTGCTTTGCCTCGGTCACTTGGAAACGGGCAATAAGTGTTTGCGACTTGCAACGTAAGTACTTTCCTAACACTACACCTGACCAAGTGATGGTCTAAGCTTTCCAAGCTGCTCATGCCTGTCCCACACCAACGCCAACGAATCGACCTCAACCCGCAATGGAACGGTCATCTGACTCAAGTGAAGGGATGCGTTCATCATTGCCTCAGCAGAGGAGAAGGCCGAGTCTGGCGCTGCCATGTCCTGCGGACCAGATGGTGCGGAACCTTGGCATGCCCGCGTACTCATGTAATCATGCCATATTGATAGCACCTAGTAGTCCTTGAGAACAGGATAAAAGTGCAGTGCATTGCATAAGCCTTGCATGTGACTTTTTTTTCATTACCTTGTTGCTCCAGTGACCATTTCTCACTTCGAAATATCTATTCGCCGAAGGTCTGTGGCGTGCTTGCGATTAACTTGCTTGGACTCGAAGTGGGGGATACCAATGTCGCAGCGGGCCGGGCTTGGAAAATCAACGGGCGTTTCTGCCTCTTCATAGCGGCCTCTTACACCGCTCTGTGGTAATTTTGGGCGACCTGACTTCAAGAGAGACTGTGCGCACAAATCCTTTCGAAATTGAAGTCCCTTAGTCACCTTAGGCCAAACCCTCCAACTTGAACGGCAAGAACAAGTCGGCCAAAGGCCCGCCAGCATTGAGTATGCATGCTGACCGGGGGGCACATAGGGCTCAAGCTGGGCTTCTTGCAACGAAGAGAAAAGTTGTGGAAGAGGGGGCCACTGGCCGCCCCAACTCCGAAGGTTGAAGTAATAAGCAACAAGCTGAGGATGAACCTCTTGCAGCGAACGGCCGAATTGAAGTCAATGCGCTTTGCTTTGCTTTGCCTTGTGTGGCTTAGGACCAAGCTCCCTGCAGTTCTGCGGCCACAGGTGTCTCTCATCGCGAAATTGGATACTCTTTGCCGTCACAGGGTCCCGCAATCAAAGGATAAACATAGGGAAATTAATGGAAGTCAACGCTCTTCTTCTTCTGCCGGCGCTAGAGGGGCCTTACACCCCTCCCGGCGCACTGCTCCGCGTGGCCACGAGTCGGTACCCCAGAGGCCCCAGCCCCAACAAATCTCCGACCGCCACCCCGTGCCCCACATACCCAAAGCATAAAACAAACCGGAATACATCTCGCAACCTCCGAAGGTGAGCGGTCCAAGGTTTGCCACGTCTCCTACTCTATGTGACTGTCAGACTTACCACTCCCTCATAAGCTCCATGTTTGATACTCAAACGCACAACATGTGAACACAATCACATCCTACCAGAACATCACCGCTCTCCCTCTTTCGTCCTCTTCTTTGTACTCTGCTTCTTCTGTTTTCTCCTCTCTTACAGTTTATGAGCTAAATCAGGTCACATGTCTCTTGCACGTTTGCTCTTGCTCGGTTGTGTATTCCTTCTCCTCCATGCTGTCGCTTCTTGAGGCTTCGACCGATAGCGAGTCGGAGGTGCCCGGTCGTGAGTAGGGTGGCATGACAGGCCTGAGTCGTAGTCCAGGGCTCAACGATCACCTTGCTTAGCTGACACAAGCACACGCGGCAAGATCTCTGAGACCTTCACAGTGTGGATTGGAAACTCCATCCTGGTGAAGGAGTTCAAGCCTTGCTTCTTCACATTCGCACTCCGAATTGCAGCAGCCAATTCTTGAGGCCACCATATTCCTCTGAAAGGTGCAGTAGCGCTCCCAGCAACAGTGCTCGTTGGCATTCGAATAAGTACCAGACCGACGGCAGAAGCCATCTCCTGCCCAAACAACGTAATTCTGAGTAGCACGAATCTGGGCTATGACAGAGCAACATCAACTCTTGCCAAGCACTTAGCAGTGACTCTTTTTTGATTGCCGACTGGAAAGACACGATGCGATGCATTTTCGCGAAATGCATGATTTCGCATGTTCAAGGCCTGCTGGGTGCAAGTGGGATCTAACGCCGCTTCTACAATCAAAAACCAGAGCTGCTTGGGTCGACATTCGCAAGCTCTCAACACCCGCAGGTGATTGCTGTACTTGCCAGGTGATCATTGCTGTTCAAGCGAGGGGAGTTTCGCAGACTTGGAGAAGGTGTGGGCGGAAAACGCACGACACTTCATGGGTTGCTGTGAATTCTCGTGCATGCACTGTGCAGCCACTAGTTCCGTAAGTTGCTCATCAAATCAGTCTGGCGACGGGTGGTGCAAGTGTTTGGCAGATTCGGACAAAATGCTTGCGTCATGCAGTCAACGGCTAGGCAGTGGTCTAGCTGAGGGCCTCGTTGCCCGTGGGAGAAGGTGGTGGCAAGTCACCTGCCGGCTGTGTGGAAAGTTGCAGCCAGAACTTGACAAATCTGAAAAGTGCACTGAAGGAAGCTCGTCTGATGGTGCACCAGGCATGCGCCTTGTTGATTGAGCGGCAGCCGGCTCCTGAGCGTGAACAGAGGAAGCATCGCAATGCTGGAACCCTTCTGGCCTGGCTGACATCAGCCTCCCTGTTGCTTGCTCTTGTTTCGAAAAATCTTTGTTGTAAGAGTGCTTGTAGCAATGCTTCAGCATAGGACATGTTCGGATTCAGTAAGATCATGCGTCACAAAAATTATCAGGCTCAGCTCTGGGCTCGACTTCCAAGCAGTACCTTGTAGTGGACGTGTTGCTTGGGTGCTGAGGGTGGTACTGTGTGCAGAATGCTGATCTACTACAAGTGAAGCAGATGAGACATGTCTGCATACTAGGTACGCAAATCTGAATGTGGGAAGATGCATGTGCCGAACCAAGCGGTCCAGCACAGTCTGTCTCGAAGTCGCTGAGCATGACTTTGCTGCACTAACATGCTGCACCAACAGCTGGCCTTCTATCCGAACCAAGCGTTGCAACCACCTGCAGGAAGCTGCAAACCAAGCCGGGAATTCACAAGGAAAAGCGGTGTTACAGCTCGCGGGCACACAACTAGCTTTCACAGACACTGAGCATGGAGTCTCAGCGCTAAGGCCACCTTGAAAGTTGCAAGGGACAGTGCCGGCGTCCACTCACCGTGCCATTCTCCAGCTTGATGCCCGTCTGCAGACAAAGCAAACTGCTGGAACATCTTGATGTCTCGTCATCATGCTCAATGGAGCTGAGCATGATGTTTGCGTTGTGGTCGCAGCTTCGGGATAGAGCTGCTGCTGCTTCAGCATGAGGCTGCAAAGGCTTCAGCTGACTTTGCGTTGCTAGAGCGACTGTTTTGGCCAAGCGACCTTGTGGGCCAGTGATTTGCTGAATTTGCTAAGCATAACTTCTAACATCGTTTGCCGTGTCTATCGTCTGCGTCTTGGGCTCGGTGCTCGAGAAGCAAATGGTCTCTTTCTTTACAATTGAGCAGTTGAAGCTTTGGCAATCTTTACTCGGGCATCTGGAAGGCCAAACTTGAATACCAGCCTATCATGTCCAACTCGGAGCCATCGGCATCCTGCAGCTTGCAGGTATTGCTAAGGACACTAAACCAGCCATGATCGACTACATCGATGACCTGGACATTGACGAGCTGCAACTGAACTTGATGGCTGCATGATTGGCTCATGCTTTGCGCGCCAGCCGTCTTTCAAAGGAACAGTATTGACATCCTGAGTGCGCGCTAGATTGGTAGAGGCATGTAACGTCCACGTCGAGTTTCTGCAAGGCCAGCACCACTTTGATTATCTTTTAAATTCATCGTCTCAACTGTGTGTAATTGCAACGTTTCAGAAATTCCCGGCACGTGGTTCTTCATCCAAACAAACCTTTGGGGTCTGGAATGCGCACTCCCAGTCCCAAACAATTTACAACTATGTGGTGAAGGGGGGAGGTGGGCCCCTTTTACAGGCTTCTGTCAGGCTCTCAATTCTTGGCCATTCTCTTGTGCATGTGATGGCCTGGCAGTGGTTGGCCGCATTTGGTCAGCACCCACGGATGCACAGGAAACAATCACCATGTTCTTGTCAACGGCTCTGCAACTGCGCTTCCTGGTAGAGGCAGCCCGTGAGCGTGCACAAATGACCACTGCGGCCTTGCATCTCCTTGCAACAGTCACTACTGCGAAGTTTTGTTCATGCTGCTGACGTGAATAGCAGTACTTGTATGCACTGTATAGGGGACACTCATATCTGCAAAGTTGACTGCATGACCTCATCAACAACTTGAACTGCTCGCGCTCTAGCAGCTTGGAACAATTATATCAACAGCGAGGATATGCCGAACTAATCTAACAGCTCGTGGCACGACAACGGCTGCAGCCATGTCCTTTATGCGCCTGTGGGCGCGTAGCAAGGCAAGCACGGAGACATCCCCTCTCGGCAGCCTCATGCAGCTCTTGTAGACATGCCAAACTTGCCTCAACTCGCAATGCTTTCTTCCGATCGCTCTACGGCAAGACCTTGCTGCAGGCGCTGCTGATGTGCCTGCCTGGCAGACATGGACGCTATCCCAAATGTGACCCAACTGATCAACACAAAGACTTCAAGATGCCAAATTTGCAAGGCCACCTCCATGCAGATTGCCATGTTCACGGACATGCAGGTGAAGTCCAATTCACGCAGAAAAAGGTCCTGAAGCTACCCATGCAAGCCGACATACCCAACCCTTCTCGCTGGCATCTAGGACAGGCCACCAAGCTACCAAGCCAAAAGCATTTGCCAAATAAGGAGCCCACCAGTTGCTCAGACCTGTGGCTTCGAAAGGTGCATGTCAACAAAGCATCAGGTTGCTAACATGTATGCAAACAGGTGAGCATCCGACTTTGTCAGCGTGCTGCACCGGTGCTTTGTGCCACCTGCCTGCACTCCAAAAACAACTCCCAAGGTTTGATTCACTCCTACGGTGTAGTAAACACATGCATGCAAGCTCCCGTGGTTGCATCAGTGCAAGATGCTGCGAGAAGGTGAACTTGAATGTTTTGCGCGGCTTGAAGGCATGGGAAGCCTTACACTGCACCATCACTGCACCAATTAGTACTGTTCAAGACGCTAACTACGATGTACTACGAAGATGCAGTTGACTCGCGCTTCACATCAAGAATCTGTACAGAATCATGAGATACCCTTCAAGCAAGTTCGCGGCCGCTGGCGAACAGCTACAGCAGCTACCTATGCTGCGTGTCTGCGAAGAGACTAAACTTATCCCGGCTGTGCCTGATTCCCCTTTGGGCTCTCCTCTGGGGCAAAGCATTCAATGAACGAATAGATATCAAAGAGCAGCTCTTGAGCGCCAAGAACCACCTGGCACGGCCAAGCTTCCGCGGTCCGTGGAAACGCTTCAAAAGGGATGCTGAAGAGCCTGCTGAACTCGATCGTCACGATACTTTGACCAAAGCCTCACACACGAACACACTTCCCCTCAGTACCTCATGCACTGATCATACATAACATTTGCGGTGCTTTCTTGGTCCAAAAAGTCTTGACAAGGCGTGTGTGAAAGGATACCGGCGAGCCATCACCCCTGACATCCACGGATGCCGTGCTGTCATCTAAGACTTCGTCTTCCCCTTCATATTTTTCCCTGTGATGTGACCCTGTCGAACGATAACCACGCGATTTGGCTCCGGGCATTACTAAATCATAGCTGAGGCCGCTTCAGTAGAAAATTGAGAGGCTGGACCATGGCGTGGACTCTTCGCTGCAGGCCGACTAGCCTGGCAAGGCACTCACAACATCGAAAGACGTCAGCTATGCACAGGTGACAGGGTCCACATGCATGTGCTCACAGCATTGTCTTGGCATGAATCGACTCCACCTCCGTCGGTCGGCATCGCTGAGGTCGACGAAGTCTGGCTGCCTAAGTGGCAAGCTTGAGCGTCGAAGGTGCAAACCGCCGTGGCATGGATCATGGAGCTTTGGGAATGCTGAAGCTCCAAGGCTGGGCGCAGTAAGCGGTGGATTCCAACTGTCATTCCTCGAGCCTGCACCAGGGGCTGGTGTCACATGCCGTTTCATTGCCATCCACAACTGAACTGAGCCAAAGCATTGCCATCATCTATCAGATGTGAAGCCAACGCAAAAAAAATAAAACACAGAAGCTTCAGCACAGCAGCATGGCTACAATGAGGGTGTTTTGAAGCCCTGCACTGGCCCAGGCACGTAAGCTTTTGCACACAGCTGCTCGTACTAAGAGACACCTGTATTCTGAATGAATGGGTGGGAGTTGTGAGTATGACTGCCGAATATGAACCTAGGAAGCACCCAACACGGGGCTAGCCGAGAACGGCTCTTAGGCAAGCTGGTAGCACAACGCGCTTGTTGTGTTCCTTCCTGCCATTCCGAAGCTGAGCTGTGCAATTTTTTTTAAATTCTTGGCTGCGTGTGACGAATGACCGCGAGCTCGTCATTTTCTGTAAGTTTTGGGCTAGCTTGATTAGTTCACGTTCAGAGGACGGTGTCGTGCTGTCTGACGCGCGTTTGCGCTGAGGCTGGCGGGTTGGTCTCAACCAGTGATTTTTCGCGTGACAGGAGGGCTAGCAGGTCCAACCTCTTTTGATAGAATCGCTTGCCGCACGGAGCTCATTTCAGTTTTATGTATTTTCAAGCGATTCCAAACTCTATGTTCCGCATTTGCAAGAGCTAACAGACTTGAATTGTCAAAATGTCTCGACTCTCTGAATGTACTGTTTTTGCGAAACTGCAGGCCGCCTAAAAGCAATCAAAATCGAATTGTTTGCTGCAAGTGTTGTAGCTGGGATCTCTCCCCTTCAGGTCCTCCTGTGTCTGTTCCTTCCTCTCCTTTCACCTGCTCCTACTCGGCGTGCTAGGAATTGAGTCTCCATACGATCTTCATGTGTAATCACTTTCTACAAAGCCATGGCTCCCAACTCAGCTTATGTGCGCAGCGCCTTTGAGATAACCTCGGCAGAGGAAGAAATCCAAGACCACCTGGGATGCAAAGCTGTGTCCAATAGAAATTGAGATGTACAACATCTATGAAGGACTATGCAGTCACAGCAACTTACTCGCTGATACATTTCTGAAAGTCTTGAAAGGGCTCTTCAGAAGCTGCTGTTTGCATTTCCTTGTCCGCATTCTGTCGCATCAGCTGACGGCAATATTGCATCGAGGGAGACAAGAAAGACAAGAAGGGTAAGCTGCTGTCCGGAAACCAAGTAAGGGCTTCACGTTCCCGCAATGATGGACGTCATCCATTACCTTTGCCAACGTGCAAATGCAAGTTACGGAAAACATCCTGACAACACACGTCATCACGAAGCAGCTGGCCTGTATTATGCTGCTGCTGGTAGTCCCGGTCACATTAGCAAGGTGCGCCCTTGCTGGAGTAGAGTTCTGATGGGGTGGAATTCCTGCATCTTGCCTTTCCCTGTGCTACATAAGTTCATCCCTTACATATGGCTGTCTATGGGATTGCGGGAAACAAACGAACCTGAGGAGTCGAAACTACTCTTCAGGGCTGGAAAGCTCATGGTATGGCTGCTGAAACTGCGTTTGCATGCTTGACTAGGCAGCGTTGCTGGATGAATCATGCTTCTTCAAGAGCCATGGCTTTCACCCACGAAAACACACTTGCAGACCAGCAAGCTTCAACATGCTTGCAAGGCTTTGGGCACTTCTCGGTGCTGCTGTGGTCACGTAGCTGTGGATATAGCCTGAAGGCTAGAAACAAGACATGCCCAGCCTGTGTCCCAGCACAGAAACTCTCGAAGTGCTTGGCATGTGCTCATAGACATAGCCGGCCGGAGGCATCGTTGTTTTGTGTGAGTATTGCGAAGCATCATACAACAACATTATGCCCAGCTGTGAAGCTGACGATTTGTCCTCCTGAACAGTCTCCATTCTCATTGCCTAGCTCTATCAATGTTGTCCTAACTGAGTGCAGCGCGGCTTGATCAGCCTGGAGATCTTGGGATGCATGCGGCGCTGTTGGAGAAGAGTGACCTGCAAGGGACTGATGTAATCAAGGCAAGCTCAGAGCGGCGCAAATCAGTCCCAGCATATTCGTTGATCAAATCAGCAGAACGCATCTCGTATGCTTACAGCAAATGCTGAGAAGAGCTCATGGGCTGCACCGTTGTGGATCAAACGTTCGAACAGAGACACGTCCAAGTGGAAGTTCTTGGAAAGGCGATAGACCTTGACACCAGGATCTGCAATTGACTCAGTTGCCTAAACCCTAGACAAGCTCTTGGCTCTATGAGCAGATGATTACAAAACACAATTCTGCAATTCTGCGAGCCATTGCGCTGGAACTTCAGTGATTGCGAAGAAAGCTAGAACTGCGTCTGTCGAACACACACTCATGCGCAGCGTGTTGAAGTTCGGAGCCTGGGCCAATGTAGCATAAACAGAAAACGGAACCTGTAAGTATCATTTCCACGTTGAAATTAAACTGGCAGCATCTGAACAACTTTTGCAGGATCGTCTCGCGTATCCATTGGCCCCCCAGCATCCCCCAGTCTTAAGGGGGTTGTAAGGGTTCAATCTTTACATGGTCTCCAGGGGGGCCTTCTTGTTTCTTGGCTCATTCAAAATCATTGCAAATGTCTCTCAGGCTTCGGAGATTCACCTCCAGACGTGGAGTACGCAACATCATTCAGGGCTAGCGAAGCACAATCTGGCACAAGCAGGCTGTTAGCATTTTTTCCGGAAGACAGATGTCTAAACAAGCTTTTGGAGACCGGCTTCGACCAGCTTATGATGTCTGCAACTTCTCTTGTGGACTGGCAGCCGACTACATAACTTGGATCCCGTGAGCAGTAAGACGCCTTGGACAAATTTCTAGATTCTCCTCATTGGAGGTGTCTCATCTGTAAGCTGACACATGCATGGAACCGCAGCAGCTTGGGAGGTCATCAGCATACTGAGCCTCTATGCCATGAGAAGCAAGGGATGGCGCCTGAGCCGTGCGCTGATCTGTGATTAGGCCTCCGACTGCTGTGGATGGGCGCAGCTGCTGGTGATCCCCGATCAGAACCTCACTGACCAAAGAGCTTTGCCACGCGGCCCTGCTGCCTTTCATGCTTATGTCCACGCTGTAAGTCCAGAGCAACATGCTGAGTACGAGGATGCAACGCAGTCAGAATGTGGGCCTTGCAAGTCAAGGTGTCAGGAAGGCTTGATAAGGCGGAAACGTCGCGGCTTTGACTCGCCTGCGAGCTTTGCAACCACAGGAAAGTCATCACTACTACGGCATGGGGATTCTTAATGGTAGCGGCAGTCGGCTTTTTTTCTCGCTCACCCAGAATGCTGGTCATTTCTACAATAGCATACAGCGGTGCAGGGGCTTCTGCTCCAGCTGCAATGCCATTCAAGCGTATCAGTCGCAGACAGGGTGCATTCGCACTAACTATGGGGCACAACAGGATGAAGGTAATGAAGCATGACGACTTCACGCGTGCAGTCGACAACTGACAACTTTGGCAGTATGGCTGGCTATTCTTAGATCCCGCAGCACATGTCTGTGTGCGGTTGAGGAATTCTGGGCAGAAACAATGCATGCACGCCATGTTGTCTTCATACTTCTTCCTGCGCGGCGATTGAAGACCGGGCACTGCTCCACCAGTTCACTTCGAGGAAACAAGGTTGTCATGCACTTAGCATGATTTGAGGTATACTCAGTGTACATAGCACTGCGGACCGCGGATACCCTTCCGAATCAAGCGTAGTAGACTTGAACAATGCCAAGAATATGGGGGAAGGATTTGCAGTGTCTATTCCGTTTTGTCTCTTTTACGGGATGCTACATACCGCTGCGGAGCAGTGCGCAGATCCAAGCCGAGAAAGAGGAATACAAGAGCATCCCTTTCTTTGGTTACCCTAATTGACCGTGCAAAGAGAAGAGAAAAGTCTTGCAGTGGAAACTTTCAACTGCTTGCCCTGCAAGTCCGACTGCCCAGACTTGCCTGAATTCACGTAAAGAGAGGCATCAACGAACATGCCTTTCGTACCATGTGCTTGCACCGCTTGAGAATCAGCTTGTTTCAGCTGCAGATGCTGCCTTGATGCCTCATTGCTTTGGGCCTTTCAAGCAGTATGGCAAAATTAGTGTTCATCTGTGTCATCTGAAGCTCTGCCTGGGTAGAGGAGATCGTAATGCCCGGGCTTGAAGAGCACATGTACATCGACCTGGTGAGCCAAGGATGTATCTGCGAACATTCCGAGCAATGAAGACAATGAGCCTCGCCCTGCGGCCCCGGAGTGTCGAGACTGATCAAACTCACCTCCACTGTTGGCAACATTTGGCTACAAGCTCCTTACTCTCCTTAGACCTATGCGAAGACCGCAGCTGCTCGGAGCCAGGTTCAATGACGTGTCGCACTTAACAAGCATGCATCAAATACGCTGCGCTTGATACTCAAACTCCACCGTGCCTTGAGCATGAGGGCTAATCACGGAGCGAGAGTGGGTGTTGACCGGGGGCTTTGTGAATCCATACCCATTCGCGCCCCTCCATCTCATGTGCCAGTACCATGAAACAGGGAGAAACAGAGGCGAAGCGGTGACGTTGAATCTGGACAGGCAAGAGCTTTCTTGCTGAACAGAGTGTGGCCAAAGAGCACACAGAATGCAGCATGGCAGCATTTATGGAGAGCAGGTCTGTTCTTGCTAGTCAACTGTATAACACCTGAACCATCCCATGAAGAAGCACGGAAAAGAGCGCGGTAAACAACCTACCAGCAGCAACATTAGAAGCGAGCAGCAATCGTGTGTAAACATCAGTCAACACTGATCGTTATTCTTGTTGAGAAGGTGTGGCAGCAGCAAATCGAAGCAGGCCTCATCTCGCCGGTCCAGGATCCACATCCGTAAGCCAACACCAAGTTGCTGTGGCAGTGCATCGAGGGCGAGTGTCTCAGCCTCTGCGCGCAGACGCTATGCGTGTATTTTGTGGTGTCTGCCGGGGCTCAGGCATCGCGCCCAAGTGGGTCAACAACGTTTCTGCAGAAATCCTGCAAGAACAGCTTGAAGGGCGAGATGCCTGTTACTTGTGGAATCCCCACCTCCATGCATGTATACTTGCTGTCCAAGGCCTTCACCAGTTGGTCATACCTGTCTAGCAGCTTGCTGCAGCGTGCCAGCCGTCCACAACAAGTCTTTGCCTGCTATCCTGAGAGTGAGACGTAAGGCCACTAGGTGATCGATCATGCGCACGCCTCCAAAATACTGTGCTTTTGCTGCTTACGACGTATTTCAAGCAGGTGAGGTTCTGTTGATGCACCCCCACTTAGAGCAGAGCTTCATCAGAAACTGCCGCACCAGTCGGCGGCACGCACGGATGAGTGCCTTCCGTGCAACACGGACCAAGTGGATCCGGGACGGATATATCTGCATGGAGATATTTCGTGCTAGCAGTTGCATTAGCAAGCTGTGTGAAATCATGTGCCTTCAAAAAGTTCTTGTCATTGCGCTGTCGTCCCAATCGCTCACACACCGAGGCACAACCAACCAAAGCACGCCCGACGAGAGCTGCACGAGACCAGGCCCTAGCTCGAAGCATTATAGGAGTAATTCTCCAGTCTCTGAGCAGGCAAGCAACATGTGCATATTTTAATGAGCCTGAAGTGGACGTCTGTATGGACCCCATTCAACGGGAACCCAGTCCAAGGAACCGTGTTAGACCTGGACCTGCTTTGATTGTAAATCTTACCATGTGCACTCTGTTCAAGCCCATCGCGTTGAATTGATGCCGCCTTGCCCCCCTTCATAGAAGGTGTTGTCACCACAAACATGCTGTTTTGCTTGGAGGCTTTGTTCTAGTTGCGACACCCTGATTCAATCACTGACTACAGGTGATCTCCTTCTCGCAGGTACTCTTGTTGTTGAAGATTCAAAGCTAGCCTTCACAGCTAATCTGCAGGTGGCAATTTGTCAGAATCTACGTTCAAAGTGGATATTGCGCATCTGACCTTGAATTCTCTTTAGACTGCATTCTGGAGGTGAAGAAAGCTTTTGACTAAACCCTAACAGGACCAGATCATTACAGGTTCCCGGGAGTGATACAGGAAGCCTCAGACGGGCCTGGTCCACGGCAGCATCCTGAGAAACCCACTGCTCGATCTGGTGTGGGCTTGTCCATGCCCTGGTCAACGTAATATCTGATTTGCCATAGCCATCTCAGTGCCTTGCACCTGATGATCTGTAGCATCTGATTGTGGCTCTTCTGCTCAGAGATGCTCTCATATTCAACCTTCCATTCTGCATGTATAGACACACTCCAAACATGTGGGACAGAACTGCGGAAGCCTGCCGAAGAGCAAGCATGATCTGGTTCAGCCTCTCGTACTCCTCGTTCATCATCAGAACCTGCAAGCGAGCTATTGTTCTGTCACTGGCCGTGTCTTCTGTCCTTCATCCCTCCTCCAAAGCACCGAAGATGACGGTACCTCACTGAGCCAGCCACTTTCATATGTGCTGCGAGCTTAGATGCTGATTGGTGGTGAGGTGCGATAGTAACAATTACCATCGCCACGAATCGATCTCCAGCAGGAATATGCCTATGGCCAACATGTGTGTGGTTGGTTGGAGCACCGGGCTTTCGGCTGACCAAGATTTCCCCACCTGCGCTAGACGTCTGATTTTGTGGAGCTTGCCCGGGTTGAAGCGGCATTCCTCCTATCATGCCGTGCTCGGCCTCTTGCTAGCGAAGCAAGCTCATTTTTCACTTTTCCTTGTCTAGCACAGCCGAGAAAGTGACAGGAACCCCTTGCAGCACATCAGCAGCAATGTGACTTGCTTTTCAGGAATCAGAGACGGAGAGGTCAGATTTCAGGCTCAGAACCTTATGATCAGATTTCTGCTGCATCACCTGCTGCTGTTGTTTAGTGAATTTAGTGAAGTGATCTAGCCATCCAAACCGTAGGTGGACCCTAAGCTGATTAACCAATGCAAAGATCTGGCAAGGCTTATGTGACCCTCAAATATCTGTCTTGAATTGACTCAAGCTTGCATGGAGAGTCATCAGGGCAAGCTGAAGACAAACAAAAGGTCCTCAAGGGTATGTATGCTGCTGCGATAGCCCACGTTTGGCTGATCTGTGCCTGCGTAGCTTCTAGATGAGTGGCGGCTACAACTGCACGCGTGATATCCTGCAGAAAGTTCCGGCAATAAGGGCCTCGAGGTTGCCGAGGGAGAGACTGCAACACCTGGCCCAGGAACAAACATGACTTGCACGAGCGCGCTGCTAAATGTAAAGGCAGTCCGGAAAGTATCCTAGAGTCTCAGCAGCAAGGATCATCGCAGCTCATTCTTTCTCCTCCAGTCAACTGTGAGGAAGTAGGCGTCTGCGGCCTGCGTTAAGTGCGCAGCCCGGTCCCAACACCTCTGCGGCAAGCCGCAGAACTCTTTGAGTTACCCAAAAAGCTGCAAGTCTGCTCACTCAGAGCAAAAGGTCAAATGCCACGGCCAGATTCAGAGGGCCTTGGATAGTTTCTGGTCCCACACATGTTCCAATCCTCCTGGCTTACGCCATGCCATGATGATCTTCACCAGCCACTCATGATGCAAAGCTGGGTTCAAGCGACTAAGCTTCAGGCCAATCCTATTCAAGAGATTGTTCTTCAATCGTGGGTCTGGACTTGGTAGAAGAAGAAGCTCAACAATGGATCTGCCCTGCAACCGGGTGCGGCCATACAATGCGCAGAACGCAAACGATATAGCACTGCCAGTCCGTTGCCTGGTTGTACTGTCCCCGGAATCCAACAGGAGAGTTGTCCACAAAATACCTCATCAAATCAAATTGCCATTGCTGGCCTTCCCCAACTGGCTGTAAGGCCGCGGCTGCCAGTTGATTTTCCACGGGAAGGCGCCGCGGGTCTCCACCTCTCTGCCACCGCCGCACAAGAATTCATCGAAGCCGAACTCCTTTGAAATCTCTCGACCCGAATGTCCTGTTGACCTTGCCTGTTATTGTCAGCCACCTGGAGCAACTCCGTGAAATGTATGCATCCATTCTCTTCCCTCAAATCCTTCATCAGTCTTCCCCAGAAATTACCCAACTGTGAGGTACCAGAAGCATCTGCCAGTCATGCTTTACTGCTATTGACTCTGGAAGTCACGTTGCTATTGAGCAAGTACCCCTAACCTGGAAACG